AAAGCCAGTACAGCTACATTTACAAGAACAGATTCTCCCTTAGAAATCCAGACCATTATAAAAACAAGCCAATTATGGAGAAAATTAAAAACCTTAAACTAGAATACAACAGAGAACTACAGTCTTTTCTCAGTTACTTGCCTTTCACATAAAGCACTGATTTTCTTTCTTGTTCTATGTAAATATGGTGTTGTTTAGAAGACCTAGAAAGGGCAAATGCTTGAACAAGAAAGGGCAAAGAGCCATCCATCTACAAAACTCAAAGCTATTCAGCACACAGAAAACAGCCAAAAAAAGAAAAATTAAGTATTTCTATTTTAACTGAAATCTCAAAACTAGAAATCAAAACATTGTTAGAGACATGATTTCGAATTTTACTATATTGCCCTTTACTCATTGAAATGACAAAAAAAGTCAGTTTTCTTCCATGTTTCCTGATTTACCTGTCAGAAAATTGCGTAATCGTCCAAACTGTACTTCATATTGCTGTGGCTCTGCCAGGCAGGGAGCTGCAGACACAACGTTGGCACAACCAGACTCAGATTGGACTGTGAAATAAAAAAAGCAAAACTTACATAAGGGTTTAAGGATTTTTACATGTGTGTCTGAAAACAAAGCTTCTCATAAAATCCAAGATGTCATTTCATCTTTCAAACCATTCAGGTATGACATAGTCCAAAGCAACTAAACATGGCATTACCACCTAGACAGACCATGAAGGAGAAAATACACCAAAAGCTAAAATCCACCCTAAAAATCTCACCAACTCACCTGCTCCACCCAGAACACACTTTCAAGTTTTCAAATACAACCTGAAATTCCTAAGAAATTCAGTGTAACAACCATCACAGACCTCTTAGAAGTTTTACAACTTTACACTCAGAAAGATGAGGAAAGCAACATACAACTTTCTCCAAAGTATAGTTTCTTTCTCAGTGAGTCCCACCAACCATCATGAAAGTGATACTATTCCAGATTCTCAAATTTCTTATCCCAGTCATTATAATTTACAACGAATTATAATCATTATAATTTATTAAGTCTTACAGAGGTGGTAGTGAAAACACTGAATCTCTAAGCAAACACTTTGTAATTTTTAACCAAAAAGTGCCCTCCTCCCTGAGGATTTTAGGTTAAGGGGTAGCTGACAACTGACCACAAACCCAGCTGTTACAGTCTCCTCAGACTGTGTTAAACCATTTTTCAGAACCAGATTCTGGAAAAAAGTGGTTCTGAACTGTTTAGAAGGGGAATTGGCTTCTCCTTCTCTGGCACCAAACCTTTGCTGTTCTGCTAATGACCTGAAATCCACAGGGGACTTTGTGCAAGTTTACAGACATGCATCAAGAAACCCCAAGCACATGCAAATGCCAGTGATTAGAAACCCAAGTTCTGCTGTTCTAAACAGAGCACAAGAGGGCAAGGAGTTTCAGTATTTTCCTTTCCCTTTTTTTTTTTTTTCTTCAAATCATAACTCTCGTCCTCTCCAAACCCCCTATTTTTATTACTTTCACTTCAATTTATTTTGGTCTTCCTTGCCCTGCACCACTTTCCATCCTCTGCTTTTCTACTCCTGATTGATTGGGGGGCCTTTTGTTCCAGCATTCGGCTCATGCACAGAGGCACAAGTCTGACAGCCCTGGAAGTCTATAAACAACATTATCAAATGTTCACACGCCAGCCTCCAGCTCATCTCAATGCCTCTAATTAGAAAGAGATCAGCACACGGTACACAGGCAGACTGTCGCTATTCTTCCCCCACTCCTCTCTCTCTTTCTCTCTGGTAAAACACAGGTTTACCTTCCTTCAGCTCATGTAAATACAGGAGGTATGTTTGGCCAGCTGAATTCAGCTCTTGAAACAGAGAAATGGGCTGAGCTCATCCTCCCTTGGGGAAAAAAACCAAACCAAAACAAAACCAGATTCCAGCACCAATATGATATCATCTCTTAAATCAGTTCAGATATAAACAAATATAACTTGCTGAAAGACACAGCTACACTGAGCTTTCTACAGCCTGGCTGCTTCAGAAACTCAAAGATGGTAAGAATTCTCCAAATTCACATACTGGTACTACTCAATGCCTAAAGTAAAAAGCTCTGCTATTTGGATGTAAAATTGAATATAATCAATACCCAGCATGAGCAAGTAAACTGCATGTATGCACACACAGTAACTCCAGAATACTTAGTGACAGTTTCCAATGTCACCCACACAACTCTTTGTAAAAGCCAAGAAATACAGAAATATGAGGGCCTGTCTCTTATGCTATCACAGGATTACATGTAACAGTCAACTCTTCACAGAGATCTGGTGGCCTCATTTCTGCAGGAATGGGAATGGCCTGACACCTTGTTCATGCCATGCAAGCACAACTCACTGGCCTAGATTTATGAGATATTTTCTCCAGGCCACAACTTTCTTTGCATAAGCAACCTAATTCCAAAATTAAGGTGTACTTCATGCTTCAGAAAGTGGAGTATCATCTTTGTCTGTCTGTCTTGAAACAGTCCGACTGGGCAACCATTATGGCCTATTCTTTCAGTAATAATGCTAGAGCTCACTCCCATCCAGCAAATGGTAAATGAACCCTACATACCAGACAGTTCTAACAAATTCTAATTCTCTGTCTTCCCAAAACTTTAAACCAATGAGAACTGCAAAAAGGATCAAGAAGTCAACTGATTCCAAAACGAGTAAAATTCCATGCATTTTCCACCTGGTAGAAATAAAACCCTGGCTGTATCTTTCTTGTATATTAATAAACCTACCACAGTTTCTTTTCCACCTTCCCCAGTGGTCATAAGAACATCAACTGGAAATATCTGCTCCTCCACATCTAGTAAGTGTGGCCAGCTACGCAACCTGATAGGAAATTCAAAGGAACTCACTCCTAACTCAGGGATATGGACAGTACCCTCCTGGTCTCGTGTGTCGGCTACCAGCAGAATTGCTGCCAGCTAACAAATGTGGGACTACTGTAAATGTTGTGTAACAGCAACTAATTCCTATTTTAGGTGAGTATGATGATGTACATTATTTCAGATACTCACTCATATGTGCTAACAGTGCTATGGGCAGTATTAGAGGAACTTGTTCCTTGGTCACTCACTCTGTCCTCAGACATTGTTCTTGCTTTCTAGAGAAATATGGGATAATCACAAGGAAGCTCTGTGCTGCATTTACTGCAGATATAATCAGACAGAATTCTAGAGAATCTCATCAGGGCTCCTTCTCCCACAGAAAAGGTTGCACCAGATCATCTTCCAAGGTCCCCTCCAAGTCTCCCACAGGCTAGTTAATTTAAAAGTCAAACAACAGAGCTGAACATAAAAAACAAGGTGAGCTTTGCTAAGGAAAAAGCAAAAACATCTTCAGAAAAACACATTTGATCACTTCCCCAAAATAAAGCACTGCAGGCTTTGCAATCTGCTCAGTTTTTACTCAGTTTGCAAAACTAAGATGACTGCAGCAGAAAGTATTTTCAGCATCTGTTGTCAGATTAAGTAACAAGCTTGGGTTTACTTTTCTAACAGTCACTGATGGAACTGCAGCATGCTCACTAACAGCTCACTGCAAGCACATTTGACAAGAAGTAGTAAGCAGCTGAACACAAAAGAGCAGCCCATTTTCAGTTCTAATGAAAACTGATGACTAAATTCTCAATGACCATCCACAAAAAACATGCATGGGCAAGAGGACACAGACTAACATGAAATTTAGTAATAATGTTTCGTGGACTTTCTTTTTTCAGTAAAAAAGACAAAACATAAACACACAGTCATTCACGCTCTTTATTGGTGTTTTTTTTTTTTTTTTTTTTTTTTTTTAAATGAGGCCACGTGCTCATGCAAGGGCTTGTAATCCAGTTCATCTCTACTATTTCAGACACTTCTGTGTCCTCCTCATATGGCTGGTATCACATTCTGAGCATGTTTTGACACCGACCTTTCCTGCATCCAGCCTTATCTAACCACAAACACGGTTAAATAGCTACTAATATTTTATCAAATTAAGTCATATTACAAGTAACTCCACCACTCTCCTTTGTCTGAGATATTGTCATAATCTAAGCTGTTTCATTGAGAGAAAAAAATTTCTCCTTGCTTTTTTACCCAAAATATCAGCCCAGTATTTTCTACTACTTTTGCAAGTATATTTAATCTCTATAACGTCCACATAGCTTTCATCCTTCCAATACTTCTATGTGCTCAAGCAGCTGCAGAGTTTGTTGAAAAAAAAATAAATATTTACAGTGACAACTATCACAGACAAAATGTGGAAAGCAAGCAGTGTGGCAGGATTCAGAAGTTTTCAAGAAAGAGAAGAAAGTTTATCTCCCTCCAGGCCTTTTCTCATCCACTGAAGGTTTTGGGCTTTTTCCCCAAATGACAAGAACAGACTTCTCATAACTACAAAGCTGACTATGCCAGAAAAAGACACAGCCTTATCACTTTAATTTCACATGATCAGCTCTGCTGGAGTACAAAGGTACAACAGAATTTCCTGCTTCTACTTCCTTTCTCATCTTCCATTCCAAAGCACCACTATTCACCACTTCACGTTATTTGGGATAAAACATATGTATTTTCCACTACCCTCACATGGTATTTCAGCCTGATGTTTCACTGACTATGAACGTCACCTTGTTACACTTCCACCCACATTTTTATTCTTCAAAAGTTCATAATTCATGCCAACTTAACAGTGAGAAATTTCTTAATTTTAAAAGAAGAAATGTCCACATGTGCAGACAAATTCATATAGCTGCCAGCACACGTGCTCACAACTCTGCCAAGAAGTAGTCATGGAAAATACGATAGGATTACCTGTGAGATTAGCTGCCATCTCTTCAGCAGTCTGACACAGCCTCAGCCCTTGTTTTAGGGGACCTTCTGAGTCCACATACTGACGACGCTTGAGGTAGCAGGACACTGCCATCTGAATCTGTTCTGTGCGTACGCGTTTCATGACCTCAGAAGGAAAGAAAGAGGTGATGAGACTCTTACAGGGTAGGCTGAGATCAACTTAGACTGCAGCTGCATTAATACTGATAGAAAACAAATATCTCCGTATCTTCATTGCTGAGATATGAAAGAGAACCTCCAGGGATTTGCCTCTCAGTACTTTTGGCTCAGACATTTTGTAGATCCCTGAAGATATTTTGGTGCCTAATTCTACTAATTTCACAGAGGAATCAAAAATAGTTTTGAGTATTCTTTACTACAACTGCAATGGTGAACTGAAGAATTTTTGTTAAAAACAGCTCATAAAAAGGGAGTATCTCTCCTCCTTGAGTTTTGACAGCAGCAGTTTACGTACTCTTCATTTTCTGGTTCCTCTGCTTAACCAACCAACAAAAAAAACTCCAGAAGATTCAGTGGAATGAGAAATTAACATACAAAGATGGAAATTTTGGAAACAATGCTTTATATAGTAAATCTATTTGGGGAGTCCAAGAAGCAAAAGCTGAACTTAAAGGTTAGAGCCAGACTTCTGGCACTTCACTCAGATAGGTCCCCAGGAAAAAAAAAGAGGGAAATTAAAAGCAGAGCCTTCTTTATCACTTGCCTTGACCTATCCAGGCTTCCCTCTTACAAAAGTTTGAAACAAAAAAGAATATTTTGAAAGTTTTTTTTTTAAATACACATTTAGGAACCCATCCTCACAAACACCACTTGGAAGTACCTCAAAATCAAGATGAGTCCAATGCTACCTTTTAGCCCCTGGCTTGTAAGAAAGGAACCTTAGTACCTTTATGTATGGTACATCATACTCCCTTGCTATTTGGGTAGTCGCTGACTGCACCAATCCTTCACAATAGCCATTGACTTTACACAGAAGTTAGATAAGCTAAAAAGCTTTAAATAAAGCAGAACTAAGCCACAAGGGTTTTTTTCCTATCACAACACCAGGTAAAGCCTGCCTGGAGATAGTTCAACATCTTACAGCCCCACTACCAAGGACATGAATGTTTCCTGAGTGCTAGTGCTTCCTGGTTTGAGCAGGTGAATCTGACGAAACTCAACTTCTCTGAGAGTGACAAGGATGGTCTTCCTCCTTTTGTAAGAACCATTATTTCTACAAAAAATATTTGGTATTTCAGCTTTAAAAATACAAATGAATTTTTTCTAATATCCATGCACACTTTAGTGCTTATTCCACTTATTAGAAAAATAACCCTTCTGTGAAGTTATGTACAAGTGGATGAGGATGCAAGGTTTCAGCAATAGTTCACTTTCAACAGATATATGCAATTGCAAACCCACATGCTTGGGTGAAAACCTTAAAAAGATTCCCATTTGTTCCCACAGGTTAAGTACTTGTTGAGGGTGGGGAAGGGACATCAACAGGTGGGAGTTTCCAAAGAATTTTCAGATAGACCCATTAAAATAAAAAGTTTTCAACACCTTCTTCCACTCCAAAAGCAAACTTCCTTTTCATCTTTCCTGCAATTAAAGAAGTTATATCTGAGACAATGTCTCAAGTGTAACACTTCTGCTGCACAAAACTGTAGGAAAGACAGAACTCTTATCAAGACCACCAAGTACAGTGGACCCAAGGATGGACCAGCAACTCAGCACCCTCGTAAAAAATACCCTTAACTAAGCTTCACAATGTACTGTTAGCACTCTGCATTTCAGCCAGCAGCATGGACTCATGTGCAAGTGATTTGCCCAGGTCCACGCCGAGGCATTTATGCAATAAACTGAGGCATTTATGCAATCTGAACAGTTTCTTGCTCCCTAGGTACTTCCCCGTGCAGTCACAGTAGGGGATGTTACCAGCAGTATTACAAGATTTTTTTTCCCTACTCCCAGGTGACACAAAGGGAGCTACCTTAAAGAAATGCATCTTCGTCAAGAAACACCCATTGGCATCAGACACAGCGTCACCTATACTCTAATTCAGCTCTTTGCTTCTTCCTCCACTTTGCCTTTATACTTCACACTCAGCATTACAAAGAACAATGTCACCGAGGCAGGAAAAGTATTCATGAAAAGTGCAAGAGCAAAACCAACGCTCCTACAAATATTCTTTATTGAGCTTTTAATCAAAATTAGAGTGTATCATAAAATAAACATAAGAATGGCCTCCCAAAATGCTGTCAGCCTGGTTCAAGCTACACCAATTCACAACAGGTCAACGATGCAGAATTTAAAGGCATAAAAGGACAAGCCTGCTGTTTTTAACTTCCAATCAATTTTAAGATTCTAGCTCTCATAACTGAGGATAATCTCCAAAATATGTAACAAACTGAAAGCATATAGAGTTCCCTGTTCACAAAATGCATGAAGCTTGAAACAATTGTTCAGAAGTTCCAGCTGTCTCATTCTCCTTGAACAGCCAAAGAGAATAATAAATACTAATCCCTCTAACTAATTTTACTGATAAGCAAAATAGATAAGGAAAGAGAGAGGTAAGATCGCATTGTGAGAATGCAGAGCTACAATACAGCATTTTCTGCAGTGTTCCAAACTGGAGCACTGGAAAAAGGTTAAGGTAATTTTTTTTTTTTGAGGAACCAAAACCACTGAAAAAACCCCCACCAGAGTAGAGGCTAATAACACAAAACACATTGCAAATTCCTCCTTCTTGGAAAAGCTGGAAATTAGTTGTGAACTAAGCATTGGAACAAGGAAATTATTTTCCCGCCTATGCTACATTTCAGGTACAGGTTTAGGCAGATTCCACAGCCTTGAAATAATCCCAGTACAGACACACTAAAAAGAACTTAAAAACTAGCACTGGAAACACTCCTTTTAAAGAGTCTGTATTCCTGTCCTGACACTGGCACAGCAGTCTCTTTCTTCCAACAGACTAAGGAAAGACCTGTGAGCATCAGATAGCTAAGTTAAAAAACACCCAACCCCCAAATTAATAAAAGCATAAAACAAAAGCATCTTTTGAATGTTCTCTAATAAGAACTCTGTCTCAGGCCTCAGTTGTGGACAGCAAAAAAAAAATCTTTTATCCTTTATCACCATAGGTAAAATATGGGGCCTACCAACAATAATAGGCCTCAATTTTAAATTTTGTGACATTAGGATAATCTGAAATTTACAAAATTTCAGAATAAATGAGATAAGGATAAACTGATATGGAGATAACCATGAACTAAGAGCCAAGGGATGTTGCACATGCAGCAGCTGCAATTCACAAAAACAGGCAAGTAAACATGACAAGTTGACTTGGAGAGCATGGTGGTGGTGCAAAATAGGAAAACAGGCTATCAGGAACTACGGAGAAGGCTTTTGCCTGAGCAGTGGCATTCATGTGAAGAGGCAGAGAGGGAACAGCTGTGATTTTAAGAGAGCATGAATCCATTTGCATTTGGACCGAGATCTGGCTCACCATCCACGAATGACGCTTTGCCAATTCCACATTGTTTCCCCCCGACCCCCCCGCGGCCCCAAGTCGGTGCCAAGCAGCGCTTCACCGATGTCCTCGGTGGGACCTGCGGGACACGCTTTCCTCCAACCCACTTCACACCACCTCGGCTTCAGCCCCGCCACCCCGGACCCTTCCTGGGCCGAGCGGAGCCGCGGGACCAGGCACGGCTCGCTTGTGGGCCCTGCCGGGGGACACCGGGCCGGGAGCCCTGCGGGGCCCCGCGCCCGTCCTGGGGCTGCTCCGCGGGCCGAAGGGCGCTCCCTGAAGGGACGCCAAAGGTAAAGCCTTCTCCTGTCAATACTGAAAATAAACCCCTCTCTTCTAAAAAAAAAAAAAAAAAAAAAAAAAAAAGAAGAAAAAAAGAAAAAAGAGGAAAAAAAAGAAAAGGGAAGAGAGATGGCGCGATAAGAAGACGCTCATTAAACCCACGCACTTTCCAAGGGAAAGAAGGATATCACGACCAGAGGCCCCCCCGCGACCTCCGGGCGCACGGCACGCGCCCGGCCCCGTCCGCAGCCGGGGCTGCCCCAGGCCGCGCCCGTGCCCGAGGTGTCCCCGCCGGCCTGCCGGGAGCCGCCGCCGCGCCGGGCCTGCGGGCCTCCGCCACGAGGCGGCCCGCGGGACGCCCGGGCGCTGCTCCCGCCACCAGCCCCGCCCCCCGCGCGGGCCCCGGGCCCGGGCCGGTCCCCACTCACTGAGCATCGCAGGCGGCGGGAGGCGACGGGAGGCAGGCGGGGGCCGGCGCGGCCGGGGGGCGCTGTCACTGCACCCAGCGGAGCCGGGCGCTGCCGGCGGGCGCGCCGCCGCTGCCGCCTCCCCTGCGGGCCGGTACCGGTGGTGCGGCCGGTGCTGCCCGGGACCCGGCGGGCGGCGACGGCGGCCGCTCCATGGCGGGGCCGGGGCCGCGCAAGCGCCCTCTGGCCGCCAATGGGAGCGGGCTCGCCCCAGCGCGCGCCGGGGCGGGCGGGAGCGGGGCCGGGGCCGGGGCCGGGGCCGCGCAAGCGCCCTCTGGCCGCCAATGGGAGCGGGCTCGCCCCAGCGCGCCGCCTCCCGGGCTCAGCGCTCGACTGGCGCGGCTTGGCGGGGACAGCGGCCGACGGGCAGGGCCCGGCCGTACCGGGTGCGGGGAGCGGGCAGCGACGGCCCTGCCAGCGGAGGGGAAGGCGAGTGGGACTGGGGCTGGGAAGGGAGAGGTGGGCGCTGGGGAGCGGGGCCGTGGGCGGCGGGCGGGCGGGCGGGCGCTTGGGCCCCGAGCGGTGCCACGTGGTGCCGGGTGCGGGGCCGCTGCCCGTCCGACCGCCTTCCTCTTGCTTGGCGTTTCTTCCAGACGCGTGTCTGCCTCTTCGCTGTTCCCACGTGCCGCCCCCATGGCAGCGATCTACTCCGGGATTTACCTGAAGCTGAAAAGCGCCAAGACTTCTTGGGAGGACAAACTCAAACTAGCCCGGTTCGCGTGGATTTCTCACCAGTGCGTCCTGCCTAATAAGGAGCAAGTGAGTACTTTTTAGTGGTGAACAGTGATGAAAGAAGAAAATACCGATGGCGGATTGCTGCTGTGGATGAATCAGTTCTTAAAATCCAGATCTAGCTTCTAGCTAGCTGATAGCACTGTAAATACAGCACTGATTTAGGATTGTGATCAGCTCTTGGTTTCTTTGTCGTTACATGAAATGTTTTTGTAGCAACATAGGTATAACAGCATGCAGGTAGCTTCAGCAAAAAGCCCTGCATTCGTGCAGGATGGAAGAAACTTCTTGTAGAGAGGATAGTGCCTGTGTTTCGTCTCCCAGAGAGACAAGAAATCATTGTCTTTAGAGCTGTCATTGCCATTGGTATTATGTCCAGTACAGGATGCTCTGAAGTCAGATGCTTTTGGGCATGGTTAAAAACAAGAACTTGAGGATGGGAGGACTGACTGAGGCTGTATGTGTGTTCTCTGGTGCTCAGAACTTGCTGTGCATGAGCAAAGAGCACACAGTGCATTCATGGGCTGCTGCTTGGAAGGTGATTTGGTTTTCTCTTCATGGAACCCACACTGTCTCCTAAGTCTTTTGTTTTGATCCTGTTTCCTGAAGGTCTGTGCAGTGTTTCCCTCAGTTAGGGGCGTCTCATCCTATTCCTCTCGTCCTGTTCCTGGTAGTACTTTCAGGCCTAGGGTTTGCACATCTAAAAGCTGTGTTTCGGGTTCTTGTTATTTCTGTTACTTAAAATATTAAACTTAGCCGTACACCACAACTTCAGTTTTGAAACAGTAATTAGTAGATTTCAATCTTTTCCAGTTGGCATCCATCTAAATTCCTAGGCCTGAATTTTTAGGTAGTGAATTTAAACATATGAAGAGAAGGAATGTGAGTGGAATAGCACCTGTTAGAAAGTGAAAACCAGCTGATTCTCTGAGCGCTGGTTTAAAAGACTGCATTTGCAACCAGTATCAACTGTTAGAATGTTGTCAGAGTAAAGATGTTACTCCTGAAAGCTGTTTTGGGATGGTACATGCAAGCACGTTTGGTACACGCAAGGTCCAACGTTTGGTATATAGCGTAAGCTCTTAGGAATTGAAACCTTTGGGAGCAGACTTCTCTGCTCACTCAGAAGCTGTTCTGCTTGGATGTAGCACAGTTCCCAAGGCACAAATGCTGTAACTCTGAGGAGGTACTGCTTTTGTCCTGTTTTTGCTTGGGGGTTGTTAAAGATTTCTTGTTTTCTCTTCTGTTAACAGGTTTTACTCGATTGGGTAAGCCAGGCATTGGTTTCCAACTACAACAAGAAACATGAACTGGAGGATGAAGTTGTTGAAAAACTCTGGGCATATCTTGACAATGTTATCCATAGTAAAAGACTACAGGATCTCTTGAAGAGTGGGAAGACAGTTGGTCTCAGTTTTTCAATTGCAGAGGTAACTATGACTGTGGATATCTGGTAAAATTCTGGATAGCAATATGTATCTCTTACAGTACTTGACTCTTCCTCAAAGTGTCAGATATTGCATGAAATATGTATTAATCTGATAGTTTGTAGGACCTGCACTAAAAGTTTCTCTATTTCTGTCCTGAAATACATTTTGTATTTGTGCAGCACTAAGGTTAAAAATGGCAGAATTAGTGACCGGCTGCAAAGGCAGTGAAAATGCCTGGGAAAATGATCCTTTTAGTTTTGATCAGATTGAAGGGATGCAAGAAAAGATTGTCTTTACATGTAGAAATTGAACTGTGAAGTATGGAGAATTGGTTGGATGAAATAAGGCCTTCAGAGATGTTATGCAGAAAGTGTGCCAAATTTAAATGTGGTCTAGTTATGAAAACCTGTTTGGATGAAGATCAGGTCAGAGGTACAGGACAGGGTACCCCGAACACTAAGGACAGAGGTGGTAGAGGGTCCAGTAGGAAGAATTTAAGGGTCTGTTTTAGTCCATCACTGTTGCAGCTGAGGAGATGAACCATCCACAATAAGGTGGATGGAGACAGGTAAGGTTTTTGACAAAATAGACACAGATTTGTGAACTGTTACTGAGTTTGTTGCAGACATTATCTGAAGATTACAAAAGGGAGTGAGTGAAAAATGGATTGAAGAAGAAAACAGCAGGGAAATACACATAAAGTTTGAGAAAAGGAAGAGAAATGCAACATCAGTTCTCTAGAAATGTGTATCCCTCAAAGGGAAAAGAGAATAGCCTCATTCCAGATATCAGGACCAGAAATTGTCTCATTTTCAAATATAAAGATGATATTTAGTCATGGACATTCTTACTAAATATGCTTCCTGTATCAGAGCAGGGATGTGTATTGTGTATCGGTTTGTTGTTGTTGGGAGCGTAATTTTGGGGACCATTCAAGAAGGGAAGAGATTTACCCCTACTCCATTTCTGCAGGATGAACCATTCGTATCAAGTATGGATAGTCTTATGCTGTTGCCAGTAGCGTGCATGGGGGCTTCTTTACTCATCTTGTGCTGCAAACAAATGCAAGGGCAGTGGAGCTTCTAGTTTGAAACCTATGATGTGAGAGGCCCAGCAGCAGCTGTTGGCACATCCCCCTTGCTTGCAGCCACAGCTCACAGGTGTTGTTGGCTCATCATAATGGGCTTTATCTTTTTGTGCTAAATTGACTGGTTTTTGGGGTTTGTTTTTGTTTCTTTTTTCAGATCATAAACAAAAGGTTATCAGAGGCCTATTCTGAAAAAACACAGCAGAACATTGGCACTGTGCTGAGCTGCTCCAATGGCATCCTTTCTACTCCTTCACTGTCCATCATTTACACAGCAAAGTGTGAGCTTTTGGTTGATCTCCTCAGCAAGCTGTCCAAGCTGGCATGTCAGCAGCTGGCTTCTGATGATGCTGTGGGCTCCCAGTTGTTCAGCGTCCTCCAGCTTACCTTTGCTCAGTACCTCCTGATCCAGAGGCAGCAAACCAACCCAAACCGTGTGTTTGGGCGAGTGACAAGTCACTTGCTCCAGCCATGTTTGCTCCTGAGGCACTTGCTGACTGTGAGGAGCTGGACACAAGCAGATGATAACCATGTGTGTCAGCACCTGAGCAGAGAAATACGAAGCCAAATAGAGACTTTGCTGCATGCTGGGTTATTTCAGCCTGAGCTTTTCTCATCCTACAAAGAAGAGCTGCTGTCAGAGCAGGAATCCCAGGAGAAGAAGAAAGGATCTTTGAAAACTCTTTTGCTACCAGTCAACACAGTGCAGACCAAGCTGGGCAGTGACTTGTGTGAACCTGCCCTCCACGGAGCGGTTGTGGCTGGTTCGGTGTCTCTGCTATATAAGCTCTTTCTGGACTCGTATTGTAAGGCAGAAAACCACCTTGTGTGCTTCCACATGCTCAGCAGGCTTTTTGGCTGTCTCAGGCTATCTGACCTGCAAGAGGCGGGGAGGAGTGATACGCTTTTCCCTGTGGACTGGAGCATGGAACTGCTTGCTTTGGAGCAGCTTCTGAACTTGGTGCTCAGCAATGATATCTATAATGTCGCCAGTGACCGTATCCGGCACAAGGAGGTGCAGTTTGGGTTTTACCGGAAGCTAGCACAGATGCTGCTGACACACTCCCAAGCTTCCATCCCTGCTTGGTTCAGGTGTCTCAAACTCCTGATGTCATTAAACCATCTCATAGTAGAGCCAGACCTGGATGACTTGGTGTCGTCAGCTTGGATTGATGCAGAGGCCTATGACCCACGTACAAAGAAGCCACAGGAGACTCTCATCAGCACCATATTCCAGATTTACTCCAAGCTGAGGCAGTTCCCACGGCTCTTTGAAGAGGTGCTGACAGTCATTTGCCGGCCAGCTGTTGATGAACTGAGGCCATCCATCTTCTCTGCTGGGCTGACAGCAAAGCTTCGTGAGTGCCTTCTTGAACTGCCACCCAACCAGATCCTGGACATTCTGTGTCTCTTTGTGGAGAAATGCCAGACCCTTATCATTCCAGCTGTTGAAGGGTCAGTTGACATAGCCTTGAAGCTGATGTCAGTGTGCTCAGTGCTGCATGCTTTTCTGTTCAACATGAGGAGCCTAGATGATGTCACTCCTTCCCCTGTTGTGCTTCGCACTCAGCGTTTAATGGCAAACATACAGGAGGGAATAATTCAGCCACTGATGGAGCTGCTGCAAGCTCCTAGGAGAGAGGAAGAAAAGTCAGAGCTTTGGCTAAGAAAGGCCAGTGATGCTGCTCTCCTCCTTGTTTACACTTGGGTTGAAGTAGACGCTCTGTTTGGTGTTAGCTGCAGTAAATACATGTCTCCAACAGCTGAAACTGCTGTTACTGAACCTGCTGCAAGGCACTGGGGCATTTCAGCTTTTCTGCCTGGTGTGGAGGAGCAGTGTTGGAGGAGAGTTATGGAACTTGCAAGTAGTTTTGCCTCCACTAGTAAGTACTGCTTAGAACTGCTCACACTTCAGAAAATGAAGATGATGTTAATGCAGACCAAAGCTGACCTACAGGCCTTGCATCATGCTGCAGCTTTCATCCTGGAGTCTGGGAGGTCTACCATGAGCAGAGGAGAATCTGAACCATGGGATGGTGATATCAGCGTGATAACAGAACTTAGCTATCCCACAGCACACTGGCACCTCGTCATATCCAACCTGACCATCCTGTTGCCGTATCTTTCCTTAAAAGATGTAGAGTACATTGCAAATGTGCTTCTACAAACGTTGATGACGGCTGAAGCTCAGGAAGCTGCCACAGACCAGGAACCTTCCATCAGCATTGCAAAGATATCTCTTGGTTTGATCCACAGCTCTCTTCTTCCAGAAATGAGGGTCCTGCACTGTGCTTTTCTGACTCATCTTATTCATCAGTTTGCTACGGTGCTGCCCACTTCTACCAGGGATTCAGTAGATCTGCCACTGCAGCAGCTGTCTGTGACTAGTATTCCTTGGCATGAAGAAATTCTGGCTTCTTGCAAAACTGTTGATGCATTGGAAAACAAAGTGCAGAAGGATGAGCTGAGCTTGTCTTGGAAAACACTGGAGAAAGTTGCCCAATGTATAGCATTGTTAGCAAAAAATGGCTGCCCTATCATCCTGAAGGAACGTCAGCTACAAAGATGCCTGGGTTTGTTAGAAATTGTTTCGCTCCTGAAATTAGACAGTTTTCTTCCCTCTGACTGTACTCGGTGTTTTCTGGTGCTGCTATCTCTGCTAGTTAATACCAGGGCTAGTGTCTCTTGCAGCAAATTGTTACTGCTGAAGGTTTTAAGTACTTGCCTCCACCTCCTGAGATGCCTGCAAGCTGGCAGGAACTCCAACTCTGTTCTTAAGGTGTTACATGCCAGCGATGTTCTTGAGGCTGTCATGACCTCCCAGCTTACAGCTTGCAAATTCTTCACTGATGTCTTGACTGTTCCTGTTTGGGCACAGTATGTCCAGGAAGTCCAAGAGTTCTTGGAAAACTTCCTTCAGATGATTATTGAAAGAAGACAAAGTGTGAAGCTCAACTTGGAAAAGTTCATGTCTTTCCTGGTGAGCTGCAGGCCAGACACAGGTGCAGCCAAAAGCATAGAGTGGAAAAACTGGAATCCCGAAGCTGAGCAATTGCTGCTCACAGCATTCACCACACTCTGTCATGTTGTCACACTGCACCTCCAGCAGCTGCCAGAAAAGAAACTGCATTCTGTGGATGTGCTGTGTGCTCTGTTGGAACCAGTGGTTCTGCAGATGGTCAGAACTGTTGAACACGGTCTTCAGAGTAACACCCCAAACCAGCCTTTGCCTGTGGCATTCATAGCATCTGTCAGTACTCTCCTCAAAGCAGATCTGAGCCATCCTGTCAAGAAGGACTGGCAGAAGGAGCCCAGTGGGTGTTGGAAGCAGCCCCGTGTTAAACTGTACCAAGAGTTTTACTCTCAGATACTGAAAGAGCTGCCCTGTGCAGGGAGTAATCTGCAGTTCCTTCAGCTTGCGTTGCAGTTCCTGACTGTCTTCTGCTCTGTGCCAGCGCTGTATCCTGAAAAAGAAACTGCAGTCATGGTTGTTTTTGCTATAAAAAAGCTTCTCTCTGGTATGAAAATTCTCTTTCTTCACCTCTTTTGCTAATTTTGTGGGTTAAAAGCCATTTAGCAAAGCATACAGTTTCTTTGAAAGTCTGCATTTGTTTACTTGTGTTAAAACAGCAGGCTATCCTTTTTTAAATGCATAACAGGAAAATTTTCAAGGAGGCAATATTTTGGTACCTGGACCACAGCCACCATCTAGTTTAGTAATGATCTGATAGATGTTAACATTTTAATAAAGTTGAGGTCCTGAGTTACTCATCCCTGGTAGAGCATCTTGAAAGCAACTGGAACATGGTAATACTTCTGGAGGTAGGGCTGAACTGCAGTGTCCTGCTTGTGTAATTGGTATAGCAGGCACCACTGAAGCAGCTGATCTGCACCAGGTCAGATCTTAGAGTAAAATACTCATCTGCTTTTGTATCTGGTAAGTGAGTTTATAGAACAGTGGAAATTACCTAACTGTTATGGATGATGAACACCATGTGGTAATGCTGATAAATTTTGTGGGATATTGGCAGGTGGGTGTTGTATCGTGCTTTTTGTTTTATCAGTGGGTCTATGGTTTGATTTGTGATTTAGTAGTTTTCCTTGGTGCTGGTTTTTTCTTTTGTCTCCACCCTTTTCCCAGAAATGTTGTCAGCTAGTTTCTAGTTTCTATTTCTCCAAATTTTACCCATTTCCTAAGACAGTTTTTCTTCCTTGGAAGTTTATTGGTTCGTTACCGTTATTCCCGCCTGGGTTTTTACTCCCAACTCTCCTGATTTGTTGGAGGCTGGGTCTGCCCCTGCCTTTCCCCTGAGATATAAGTCTTTGTTGGCCCCCTAGCTGGGGCCCAGTAAGAAAGAGGGGAAGAAACACCATCAAATAAAGTTTCCCTGGGACCCCTGTGCGCTGCCTGTGTTTTGTACTGCGCTGAATTGACTGACAACTGGGATTCAAGGAGCTCCAGGGGGAAAACTGCCGCCCCTCACTCTCAACATCAGCTAGCCGGGGAAGAGAAGTGGCAGATTTGGCGCCCAACGTGTGGCAAGATAAGATCATTTGACGAGCTCCTTTTATGACTCTAAGAAGAGCCCATCGGTGAATTTTATAGCTCTATGGACTTTTTCCGCCCTTCCTCCTCACTCAGAAGCGGAGAAAGAAAGCTTGCGGAAGACTCAAACGAATCAGGGCTTTGCGCAGACAGCAGCAGAGAAGTAGCTGTTGGGCTCCTGCAGCAAGGCAAGGTGCTTGCACTGGGACAAGCACACCAGTGTCCCACGTTGGGAGCGCCAAATCTGCCGCTTCGCTTTCCCCGGCTAGCTGATGTTGAGAGTGGGGGGCGGCAGTTTTTCCTCCTGGAGCTCCGTTCAATCCCAGTTGTCAGTTGATTCGGCGCAGAATAAAACACAGGCAGTGCACAGGGGTCCCAGGAAAACTTTATTTGATGGTGTTTCTTCCCCTCTTTCTTCCTGGGCCTCAATTCGGGGGCCGACAAAGACTTATATCTCAGGGGAAAGGCAGGGGCAGACCCAACTTCCAACAAATCAGGAGAGTTGGGAGTAAAAACCCAGGCGGAGAATAACGGTAACGAACCAATAAACTTCCAAGGAAGAAAAACAGTCTTAGGAAATGGGTAAAATTTGGAGAAATAGAAACTAGAAACTAGCTGACGACATTTCTGGGAAAAGGGTGGAGACAAAAGAAAAAACCAGCACCAAGGAAAAACAGTGAATCACAAATCAAACCATAGACCCACTGATAAAACAAAAAGCACGATACAACAGATGGGTTCCTTTATCCTCACCAAATAAAGTGCCAGGGCTGGAAATTACATGAAAACCCTTTGCTGCCAGCTGTGGGACCTAATGGCTCCTTTATATTGTCTCATTCACAAAGAGAGATGAGCAGAGAGCAGGAATAACTGTTCTCTTTGACTTCTTCAAACTGCTGGAGTCTGTCAAACTTATTACTGGCATGCTCTGGTGCAGTGATGTCCAAACATTTTTGATTGCATACACCTATCATTAAAATACTCTAAGAAATTGAACACACAGCCTCAATATAACTTAATTACAAATTATACATGTGCTGTTCCACTATGTATATTATAAAGCACACATACAGAAAATGTTTAAAAAGAATGAGATAAAGATGAAGTAAATACTATTTAAAATATGTTTTTGTATTAAAGATATTTTACTTATAATTCCCACACCCCAGTGAATTGTCTTGTGCACACCCTGGGGTGTGCACACTCTTCTTTGGAGACTACTGTTCAAGTGAAGTGCAGTTGTGATCTCAGTGTTTGCATTGCTATTAAGTAGTCATAGAAAAAGCTTTGTATTTTTATGATTTGTGATAGATCTCTGGCCACCATTTGTAGAAAGACGTGTGGCTTGTTTAACCTGCTCCCTTGGCTTGTGCAGCTGCTTTGGTGTAGTCTTTTAGTATTACTGAAGACTTTTTGTTGGTATGATGACTGCTCTGAACCTGAAGGTAGGATATACTTGAGATTATCAAGTTATTGCACTAGTGGGGAGAAAGGTAAGCAGAAAGTATCAAGCCCTCTATTTATTTGAGTGTTAAAAAGGTACCCTCAGAAGTGTTTTATTTTCAGTTTGCCCTATTCTTACCTGTGGAAGTCTTTGTCTTGGGAATTGATTGCTTTTGTCTCTTGAATACACAGGTCCTGCAATTACAATCCAAGTGATCCGAAATATGGAGATGGAGCTGACAGAGGTGCTTGTGCAGGTGCTGGGAAACTGCTCTGCCGAGGAGTTTTATGCCATAATGAGGCTGGTGCTGCAGGGACTGGAAGTGAGGAATATTTGGCAGCAGAAGGCTAAAGTAAGGCATGAGCTTAATGTGTTGTCAGCTTCCTTCTGCAGTCTGCTGTATCTTGAAGCAAGGTTGTTGGCTGAATGGCATTTGTTAAATATTTTTTTTTCTTCCTGATTCATGTTCAGTGATCAGGTCAAATTAATTTACATGGATAAGGGCTTTGTGACTGTGCTATGTTCTGTATATAAACTGAGAGATGGAAAGATCATGGAAACCTACTCAGAAAACTTTCTGTCTTAAGGACTTTCATCTTAAGGACTCAGCAGTCTCGAGTCCATGTATTGTCAATAGAAATCACACAGCTGTGGTGTTACAGGCCATTCTGAAAGCTCTTTCCTACTTGCTGCTCAGAGCTCTTGCACAGCAGATACCAGCAGTCAGTGATTATCTGTGGCTCTTTTTTACAAGGTTAAAGGCACTTCTAGAAGTGCTGGCATTTTTAAGTAAAACCAAAACTGCACCTGTGCTTTTGGTACTTGTTGCTCTAAAGACTACTCAGCAATACCCAGATAGCACTCGGTATCTTTTTAAATTATGTGCCCTTTGTCAGAGCAGCTTAAACACCAGTGGTGATGTATGGAACACTTCTGGCAAAAAAAAGTCTGCTGTATGCTCCATAGAAAGTCCAGTGATTTGAGAATGACACTTGGATTAAATTTGTGGGATTATCCAGCCCTATCTTATTTGTCAGAAGAGAGGCAGATGTGCTGCATCAATTCTTGATGCATCTTTTTGAAGGTGTATCTGGAATTCCTGAACTGCACAGATAATTCCTGCCACCTGAATATAGCTTGCAACATGCTTCTTTTATCAGTCTGTATAAACAACTAGCAACTAAAAAAACCCTGCTGCCAAAAGCAGCATTCTTAATTTATAGTGTATTGGTATCCTTGTATTGCCTCTGCTTCCCTCTGTTATCTAGTGGCAGTTGTATGAGAAGGCTTTCCTTTCTTAAAAGTCATGTAAGCTTTTTTGTACAGTAAGTTGATTGTGAAGCAAATGTGGCGTAAAGTACATTTGTGTCAGTGCTGCTCAGTGCATTGAATTCTGTTGAGCTGCTGCTTGCTTCAAAATTTCCAAAGAGAGGTATTGGTGGGAGGTCTTTGATGTGTCTAGGCTCTGGTAATGCTCAAAAGTGCCACTGACCTTGAAAGAGCTCTTTTGTACATGAAAGGAGCCAGTGTGCCTTGTACCCCTGACTGATGGTCCGTCTGCTTTCTGCAGGAAGTATTGTCAGCTGTTTCGCTAACCAAATTGTTGCTCAGCTGCCCATTAAGTGGAGACAAAGGGAAAGCTTTCTGGTTTGCCAGCCCACAGATAATCACAGCTTTAGCTGTAAGTATCTCTTTATTGTAACTTCATTACCTACCCCTCCTATCTGTTAGACTCTCTAGTGGATACAGCCAACGTGCACAGAGACACACAGGAACAAAACTAAACAAATCCATGCCAGATTCATCTGATCGTTTTTGTGTAGACCCTTTTTCTCCTCCTTCCTCAAGTAAATCTCCTGTAAGTGCAGTGTGCAGGTCATCCATTTCTTATACACAGTAATTTTATGGAACTACACTGTGTAATATGGAGCTTGGGAGAAACTTGTTAGACTGCAGAGTAGAGACTCTGTCTCCTGTCCTTCTTCCTGTCCAAAGAAGATAACCATCAGCCATGTGTTGCAGCAGAAGCCAACAGCAGCAAAACAAAACAAGTGCTTATAGAAAAAAGTAATTATATAAATTCACTGAATTATGAAAGGGAAACTTAACTGAAACTAATCAAACGCAAGTTCCCCGCCTTTTGTTTGTACAGCATATAACCTAGTGATGTAGGTTTTTCTTCTCTTGGGATGATATCTCTAGGCAAGAATTTATCAGCGGTTGGTTCTGCAGTGGCTGGGAATCATAAGCTTGCAGTTTCTGCCCCTTTTGATAGGTCTGCACGCATGTAAACTGCATCATTGGATTTGTGTGAAGGGGTGCAAAGAGGTGCTGGTTTTCAGGAGGCTGGGGAATAGTTGTCATTCCAGTTGCCATTCCAATGCTCACAGCAGTGTTTGTTTGAAATGCATCATATGCATCCTCACACCGGGCACAAGTGCATGAAAATGGCTCAGGTGCAGGAGTCTCCTTGCCAATCCAGCTCACACCAGTCTAGTTCCACTGACTCCAGTCAGAGCTTAGGGTTCTCTGGTGTTCCAACACTAATGCATTTCTCATTGTCTGTTTCCTGTCTTGTAGCTGCAAACCAAAGAGGCCTGTCAGGACCAGGCACTGATTTCCATCATAGTTATACCTATTCTAGAGACTGTATCAGCTCTGCTAAGGCAGGGAGAAGGGATTCTTGTGAATCCACATCACGTTTCATTGGCATTCAGTATTCTTCTGACAGTCCCTCTGGATCATCTGAAGACAGAAGACTATCATGGTGTCTTCCTGGGGGTCCATGAAGTGCTCTTCTCTATTGTGCAGTGTCATCCAAAGGTATATCTGTGATGGGGTGGGAGAAGGGGAAAAGGTTTGAAAGAGCAAACATATTAGTGATAGAATTTTTTTTTTATGATTTTGAAATATTTTGTCTTGATAGTATGAAAGTGCATTGTACTGCTTGTCATTTAAAAGGCTGGGAATCTCAAAATCACATAATTTCAGTTGCTCTCCTGCTTTGCTTGTGCCTGCACTGTTGTTCTTTGGCAGCGGATTGCTTATGAGCATCTGATGCTAGGTTAGGAGAAAATGTTTCCTTTTTCTATGATTGATTCTCGAAGCACAAATAGCTCAGGATGCAGAATGAGAAGATAGTTTCTACCCTCTCCACTCCCTCTACTATGTATTCTCACATGTTTTTATTTCATGTGTTTTTCAGGTGCTGTTGAAAGCAGCACCATCCTTTCTGAGCAGTTTCCATCGTCTGGTTGTTTCTGTCATGCATGAAGGACGTCAGAAAGGAGACAGAGGTACCATATTTTTTCCACCTTTGCTTTATATATATACTGTAGAAGAGGAGATGCTGAACAGGACAAAGTCCTCAAAACCTAGTTGTGGCATTGAAACTGTCATCCCTGTCAGACCTGTCCTTTATGAAAAACTGGGGATGAGCTTTGTGGTAGTGGGCTTAGGAAGATAACTGGGGCTCCTGGGGTGCTGCATGCGGACAGCATTGCTTTTGGTGAGTAAGTTATTCTTCACTGACTGGCTGGCAAGTAGACAGGAAGCAGTAAGGCTTACTGTGCCCAATTTCTGCTCTTCCTGTCAAACCCTGTGTCTGCAAGCATGGTGGCTGTGAGCTCCAGTGATTCATGCTAATATGTGTGAGTTATAATCCCAAATGGATGCTACTAAATGGATTTTTTTTAGATTAGAACTATGTTTACTACAGAGTTGAGCTGTCACCATTCTGTGCTAAGTATAAGAACTCTTTGTGTATCCGAAGCATCATTTGGGATTAGATGATATATCCATATGGTCAAGGATTTGGAATAAGGGTAATTAAATATCCTAAGAGGAAGGGGAAAAAACAGACTTATTACAGGAAGTTATTAAAGAGTTTACATAGTCAAAGTGGACAAGTCAGAGATGTCCACACTGAATAAGATGGCCAGGACACAGATACCCTGTCATTAATAGTGGAGGGTTTTGAGATAAGCTGACTTCATGGCCCGAAACTGATTGTATCCCAGCTTTCTGCTGATGTCCTACAGCCTGTGCCATGTTTAGATTTATCTCAGCTGATGTGTTGCCCACAGCTGTGGGCAAATATAAGTGTATGTATTCATTGTAGAGGAATATATTAACTGAGGCTCAGTGATAGAGGAAAAGGTATGTTAAACTGGTGCCAGATTTGGAGAATTTTCTTGCTTCTGCAATATGTTTACATAAGGCAGTCATCACAGGAAGCTTACAGGTACATGGCATCCTCAAGCTGAAAATTATGCTGTTTGTCTTTGCAGGATCGTTCTGTTTTTGTAACAGGTAACATGGAAGTAATTTCTGGATTTCCCTTCTCCCTTGTTTTACTAGCTCTCTTCATTCTCTGCCTATTGAGTTAATTCTTAGCTGATCTCACCAGTCTCACTTTAGATACCTCCAGTGATGCAGTTTTTGCTGCATCTATTCCACGTAATAGATCTCATCAAAGAGCTTTCTTACTATGCTGTTTCTAAGAAATGTCTTCTGATTTTCTCTAGGCAGGGAATACAATTTTCTTGTGTCCTCATTCTCTCCTCCACAGTGCTAGTTGGGACTGAATTGTGAAAAGGACCATAACTGCTGTTGTGAGCACTTCAACATCTATAACAAGTAATTTTTGTCTTGCAGTGCACATGAAATTGGAATCAGTATGCTTCTACAAAGTAGCCACTCTAAGGGATGTATTTTGTGTGTTGTGGGGGGCCTCTAGCTGTGGCTTGATAAGAAAAGATGATAAAATAGGCAAGCTGTGCTTGGCCTCATGTTGTTCAAGGATCATGGAAGACTGAATGATTCTTTGGGTTTTTTTTCCTAATGTTTTTAAACTTCAAATGCCAGGCTGCATCTCACTTTGTGTTTTAGGCAACGTGGATGAGTTTGAAATGATACTGAAATGTGCACACTTGGTGGAACGGATGTATACTTATATTGCTGCAGAAATGGAGGACTTCACTGTGTTTTCTGCCTTCATTGTGGCTCACTATGTCACTGAATTGCAGAAGGTATGCCATCTTGAAAGTGCCACAGTATTGAGCTAGCTTTGGAGTTTCTGTTTCAAAGGCAACTCTGTTAAATTCTGTAAAATGTGTGAAGCTACAATTGTTATACCTCGTGGAGATGCAGGTTTGATTCAGACTTTTGTATTATGCAAGAGTTCATGAGAATCTTTCTTACCAAACTCCTGGAAAATTTTCTAAAGGTGTGGGCTGTGTTTTTTGTCTTTTAAGGTAAAACAATGTAGTGCCTAGGTACAAAGCTGTTTTGCTTTAGTGCCATGTTGGATGTTGCTTTTCTTCATAGAATCATAGAATGATTTGGGTTAAAAGATTGAAAGATTTAAAGGTCATCTAGTCCAGCTTCTCTACAATGAGCAGGGACATCTTGAAATACATCAGATATTGAAAATGTCTTGCTCATAGCCACATCCTACCTGGCCTTGAATGAAATATCCACCACCTGTCTGGACAACATGTTCCAGAGTTTTGGCACTATCATTGTTGAAAATGTCTTCCTTATACATCTGGTAGTTAAGTTTATCTCCCAAATAGTCTCAGTTGTCCAGGACTGATAGCAGTTAAGTCCCCATCTGGCAAAGTAATGGTGGAAGATTCTTCTGGAAAAAATCTTTTAATATGGTCTAAATGATTAATGAAAAAATGAAAAAAATGTTGCCACAAGGCAAGAGTTGTTAGCTTTTCGGTAATTCTCCTTCTTTACCAAAGATATCATTCTGATCCTTATTGAAAGCAATTACTTTTATGGATGCCAGACCCAGATCAGTGTTTTCTCTCATCCAGAGGTAACTTCAGCTTGTCATTTTCTTCAGCCCAATAGATGCAGATTTCACCAGGGTTTGAATGCTGTTGTGGTGCAAGTACCTGCAAACTGATTATTTGTGGTTCTGGCCTGGGCATGGGCTGAAATACAGAAAGGAAACCTAGTCTTTGTTTTAAGACCCTCTTACAAAAAGAAAATCCTAACTGGTGCTATGTTTCTGAAGGATTGTAGTGTAACCAGTGCAACTAACCATGAAGGTTATTACAGAGGTTAAACTTCACTGCCTTCTCTGTCGCCTTTTTTCTTTTTTTTTGGTGGAGGGTGGAATGGGGGAGCAAAATAATGGGAGATATCAGATTTTAGCCATATTATTTACTGTTCCTAGTTGGTTATTGTTTACATACTGAATGTAGTAGTTCAGCAAAGGGAAAATTGCTGTTAAAGTAGCTTCCCTTTAACTGTCTTTGAATTCTGTAATCTGGTCATCACTGACTGTAAGTTTGAAAGCCTGACTTGAATTGTCAAACGACCTTTTTAAGTTGAAAGGACACTTGTCTCAGTATTAGCAGGAGTACACAGTCTCGTGAGATGTCTAGGAAAGTTTTGTGCAAGATGTTCACTGGGAAATGGAAAGTGATGGATGATAGCTGAAACCACAGATTAGTAATGTATGCATGGAACCTTTGGGTGTGGAAGGGGAAATTGGTGTAGTGAGCCAGCAGACACTGTGGCAAAGGAGTGTCTTCTGTCTGACAGAATAGATAGATCACAAGTAGCTGATGATTCATTTGCTCATTAGACTGCTGAGAATTGATGGATATCAGAGGAAAGGGGGCCCTCACATGCCTGTCTTAAATGGGGCATGTACACATCTTTCATGTTGCTCTGGAGAGAAAAGCTCTTTTAACCATTCATCTCTTCCGAGTCAGGATCAGTGGCTTTCTCCCTGTGATATGAAGACCCTGAGGGTCCATCAAAGATAACTGAGAAAAACGTATTAGTAGATTTAAGTCTTTATGTAGGCATCTGCACACTTACTGGAACCCTTTTAAGGGTCTGCAAACTAGTACTGATGAAAGCTACTGGCCTAAGCAGTCACTTATCCCTAAAGCCATTGTGTAACAGCTCCCTCAGTGCTTCCTCTTTATACCATAAATTATTTTGTATTAATTTAGAAAGATCCCTTACTGGAGTGGGTGGCATCTCTTTCATACTGTTGACAGTGCTTTCTGCTTGTTGCCTATGAGCTGTTGCTTAATTCAGCAATAGAGGAATACCTCTTCACACATTTAATGTCTCACATCAAGAACTCTGTAATGCTTGACAAATTGGTTTTGCTAACTGTATAGACCATAAACCACTTACAAGTATAATTAACTGCCAGCCAGTAGTGGCAGCTGTTTAAATCTTTGGCTCTGCTTCCCATGGTGTTGTTGGTGTTTATAGGAAACTGCAAAGTAAGAATGGCCCAAATAAGGCATGGGTCCAGATGAATTTGTGATGTGAGGGATGCAGTTCTGTTAACTGTGGCTCTGAGACAGCTGCTTATCCCAAGTGGGCCCTCTGGTCCATATTGTCAATAGCTGTGGGTTTTCCTGTCCTTGTTCTCTGCAGTCATTTCTCTGCCCTAGGAAGGGAGAGCCCACCCCAGTGCATTCACTGGGAGCTGTGATGCTCAGCTGTTTTCCAACTGTATTGCACAGTGCAGGGAGAAATAACATCTGTTGTAAACAAACCAATCGATCAACTGACAGAGAAGGGGAAAATTACAACCTCTTGCACATGCAAACTCTGCAGGGTCACAGATCTAAAGGAAATCTTATGTGCCTTAATGCCTGCTATATGTTTTTCTGTGCTATATTAGTGCATCTAACAAAACATATTAGCTGTTCCACATTTAGGGCAGAAAGAGGGTGGAAGCCTGTCACAGTGATGAGAAGTGCACTTCATTAGCAGAAAGTTTATTAGTTGCCTAAGGAAGAAAGGGGCCTGAATTTTAATGACGGCTTTTTATGTGATTTTCATTAGGTCTGGAGTGCAGAGGCTCACATCTGGAGGCATAAAGCTAATTTTGGGATTCAGCAAAGATAAGATAAGGTTCTGCAGCAAAAATAATGCATTGATGCCGGAGGCCAGCACTGTCTTGGGCAGTGAAGTATTTAGCAAGTGATTTGTGAGCACAGGACAAATTTCAGTTAGCCTGGAGCAGCAGAGGGGTCCAGCGTCAGTGCTGATGTTCCTGGTTGTAGTGGCGGTTCTACTGGTTGTGGGGTTGAGCAAGAGGTAATGTCAGGAGCAGGGTGCTGAGTCCTGAGTCATTTCTTGTATTCCTCCAACTTTCTGCATGACTTCAGGCAAGGTACCTGATTCTTGGTGTTAAAACAGATTAAGGAAATGTATGTTTTTGAGATTTTTGAAGGCTTCTTTCATTAAGGCGTGTACATTGAAGTACTCAGAAAAAATTGTTAGATAAATATGAAATTGTTACATGATATGTTAAAATTGTTTCTACCCAATGTAAATGAAGTGCTCATTTGAAACTGACATAATAGCATACAGCCTATATATATACAGACATACAGAATCTACTGAAATGTGTAATTCAAGGCAAGTATTTTAGGGTTTTTTAATTAGAGTTGTGCTGAGGAGTGTTCCTGTGATTCCAGAATGATTAGTGTCTTTGCCGCTGCAGCAATGTGTATAGTACTCCTGTGGATTTTACTGCAAGGGCTGTGCTCGTTTTGCAAAACATGTTTGCAAAATTCAGGAAAATACTGCACAAGTCAAAATCTTGGATTTTATCTAATGGGCTGTTCCAGATGGTCTGATGCAAAGGATAATGTTGTCAGCATTTAATGTATACTGACTGTGGAAATGGTGTTGTCTTGCCTTTCTGTCTTCAAGTTCAAGGCAATTTTGTTCTTCTTGCAGGTGACTTTGCATCCAGCTGTGAAGACACATCTCACAGAAGGAATATATCACATACTTGACCTTTGCATTGAACGGGACATCAAATTCTTAAATGCATCGCTCCCAGCAGGCGTGAGGCAGGTCTTCAAGGATCTGTATGATGATTACAACCGCTACCACAAAGCAAAGAAGCAGGGGGAGGAAAAGTACACTGCATGATGAATCCTGCCTGGTGCTGCGTGATCAGTTATGAATTGATCTTGGAGTGCTCAGAAGATGCTCAGTTGCTATTTGGTTTGGGATAATGAGTAAAATCGAACTTGAGGAGGGTCCTAAACATGGATTGCATTTATCCCTATACAGCCAGCCTTCATAACAGGGAAAAAGGGAACTGGGGAGGGAGGGTGTGCTGTGCTCTTGGTTCTGGTCCTGTGTTGTGCCACAAATGGCAGAACTGCTGTTCCTCTGCTGGCCCCTGGTGAGCTCTCTGGGAGCCTTGGGGAGCTCACTGCAATTTGGCAGCAGATGTCAGGCTTCAGGCTTTGGCACATCTTGTTGCTTTCCTGTGGAAGCAATAGTCTGGTCTAAAAGCCAGCGATGGATATAACTCCCGCTTTTGCTTACATGGTAAGCAGAATTAAAGCAGTTAAAGTGCTTATTTTTGTACCCTGTTATTTTACATTTTGTAACTGAAGAACTTTATCAATATTATGCAGCCGTACAGTAGGTTACTGTGCAAACCTGCAGAAGTAAAAGTAAAAAATTTGGAAGATTGTATCTCTTTGCTTGATTGGTTTTGCTGTCCAGTCCAGCCCTGGGCAACTTGGTCTGACCTATTGAATTTCCTTCCCAACTGTATTATCCTCTGATCTCATGATAATCAAAAAGACTGACTACCTGGAGCTCTGTTCGATTTACTGTCATTAAGCAGTTACACTTAGTCATCCCAGCTGTGGTCACTCTCAGTGCACTCTCTGTTTGGCTTGTGACAAATGTTAATTACCACTGTTACTATCTGAGACTCTTCTTGGTCTGAGCTGAGCCTTGTTGCTTTGTATTCACTCTAGGTTAAGAGTAAGCCCTCGACTTCTTGCAGCTCAGCTCAGCTTCTGACAGGAAGCTTTATCAAGTTTTATCAAATAACTCCCTTTCATTAGCTAAATGACAGAAGTTTGGGTTTTTTTAATGATACAGACTAAAGATCTAAGTTTTATCTAAGTGGTAAAACAGTCTTCACATGTACATGTAGGTAGAAAGAACTCAGTACTCTCATATGATTATTTGCTTTAATCTATAAATAGGGGGTGGGCAGAGGGAGACTGGAATGTGGCTTACCACTTTTCTGGGTCCATCTGCCTCCATAGCAAGGTCCAAAGGAAGAAGTTTGTCTGGGGCAAAAGGCTCCATGTGGCTCAGATGAGGGAGGTGAGCAGGGCTCGCTAAACTTCATCCTTTGGATTGGAGATGATCCTCCTCTCATCCTGAAAAAGCATCTTGAAGGGCTTTGATACTGTGGAAGCTGTGTTCAGAAGTAATAGTGCTATGTTATTAACACTTTTCCAGTCACAACTGCAAACCACAGTGGCATATAAGCTGCCATGAAGCAAGTTAACTCTGACCAAGCTGGATCCTGTGCACCACTGGGCCACTTCTGTATTTTATTTCATGTGGGCCAGCAGTGGGAAGGGGAGTTACTTCTGCCGCACCAGGAAGTGGGACAGTGACATAGGTCCCAGAAGGGAAACATGTAGGAGCTGGAGGCATCCAAAGAGGGGAGGTCTCCAGGGTGGAGACAGTTAATACACTGGAAAACGAAGGAAGGTTTTGAGCACTGGGGGAGGATGTGGAAAGAACAGCAGAAAAAAGGAGAGCTGGGTTTGGAGCGGGGGAGGAAGGAAGTGAGGGAGGAAGGAAGTGAGGTAGCATCTCTGGCATGTGTGTCAAGGCTCCCCTGATGCAGCCATATGGTGCAAGCCACACACACAGCTCAAAAGCTTCTGAGTGCACGCCGCAGTAAATAACACTAGCCAGAGAAGGTAAGCTAGTTGAGTTGAGATCAGTTTTATTTCATTAATACAAACTTTTAAATTGTTACCAATTTTAACCTCTTGATTTGGAAATGAAAATGCGTAACTGACTTAGATGTACAGGGGTGATGGAATTAACAAACCCCCACTATCAAAAGGGCACGGTGCTTGAATGAATGAAAATCTGAAATCCTGCCACAATTAAACCTTTATTTCAAACAAACCGTGCAACTGCCACTTATCCCGCAGCCCCCCTCCTTCTCCATGCAAAGCAGTGGAGTTCTGGAGCACAAAGCAGCGTTTCCGTGTAGAAGTGGCAAAGGGGTTAAAAGGAAGGCTGTCTTTCACTTGCTAATCCCAGGTCTTTGTCCAAGAACTGCTCCGGATTTTTTTTTTTTTTTTTAGCTAGAATAAATTAAATCACTGGCAGAGGACCACCTGCTGAGAAAGCAGGCTTTGTACTCCCGGGTGCATTTCCACGTGGGTGCAGTTTCCTCCGCTGTCACACGATGGGGCCATCCTGCAAGGGTACAAAGCACCGTCTGAAAACAGGAGCCCTTCCTAGGCTGGGTTAGTTTATGAGCTCTGAACATCAGGAAGGTAAAGGGTGTGGAAGAAACACCATCTCGGGTAAAGGCCAGGAATCACGACCTTTGTTTCACTGGAGTGTTGCTTTGTGTGCGTGAATCTCCAGGCCTTACAGATGTTCTTGGCCAGGTTTTCAGTTGTTGATGCAGCACATCTTTTCTTGTTGCAGCATGGACAGAAATTCCTCTTGTAGGCAGAGCTCAGAGGCTGGGATTTCAGGGTCCTGCTGGCTGTGCCACTGGCTCAGCCTGTGACTCTGTGTGCAGTGTTTTCTACTGTGCACGGGCAGTGCCCAAGTCTGCTGTGCCAAAACTGGCTCAAATAGCAAGAAACAGGAAAGGCAAGAAGAACAGACCAACAAAAATTATGCTGAGTTTATTTACCCCTTATTTTTGTGTAGCTGCTGTGAAAATCAGCTGATTTTTCTACTTGCCCGGTGGTGTGGCTTAATACTTGACTTACCTTGCAAGTATGGATAGAAATGTCAAAAAAGATGATGGTTTAAGATGTTAGAAATTGTGTTACTAATTAAAAAATTGTTTTTCCTGATCATACCTTTTGAGAAGAGACTATGTACTGAGTACTTTCCTTTAAGCTTGAAATGAATCAGTAGCTTCCTATTTGTTTACTTGATGCAGTTCCGGAGATTCTGGATAACAGAGGTCTCCTTCCAAAGACTACCTTTGTGGGTTAAAACGTAATAATATGAATAAAGGAGTACTTTGAGAGATTTCTACACCATTATTACTGAACCATTAAACACCTCCAGTGACACAGCTTGTTGATGATACTGAACTGAGTGGGGAAGTGAACGCTTGGCACAGAAGAGCCAAGCTGCAAGAAGACCTGGATAGGCTGGAAGACTGGGCTAACGAAACCTTTGTTGAACCTTGTTCAACAAAGAGAAACAGGGTCTTGCACCTGGGAAAACATAATCCAAGAGCACAGGCTGGGATCTGCCCATGTGGGGAGTAGCAGAGAAAGAAGTCATCAATCCCATCAACAAGGGCATCACCAGTAGAGAAAAGAAGTCACTATCCCTCTCTATTCAGAGCTTGTCAGGACACACCAATTTCATTCCCCTCTGTGCAAAAGAGATGTGGACAGGCTGGAGAAGGCCCAAGGAAGGGCTACAATGATGATCAAAGGACAGGGAAGCTTTCCATGGGAGGAAAGGCTGAAACAACTGGGTTTGATTAACTTTGAGAAAATAAGGTTTAGAGGGAGACCTTATGACTGTGTTCCTGTATTTAAAGGGTGTCTACAAAGAAGATGAAGACTCCCTTTTTGCAAGGAATCACATGGAAAACACAAAGGCTAATGGTAAAACTGGACACATTCCAATTGGATGCAAGAGGAAAATTTCACAGAGAGAACAATTGGCCATTGGAGTAATCTCCCCGGGGAAGTGGTGGATTCCTCAACACAGAACAATTTTTTTTTTTCAGCTAAATGACTGCTTGATTTTTTTTCAATGAGAAACATGCAAAAGTGCCATTGTAGGGAGTACTGACATTTGCTGCTGAATGATCAGTGATGTGTTCTGCAAGCAGTAAAAATTTCCAGAAAGGAAGGCTCCTGTTATTGTATCTACCCAGTAATATTTATGTCACAAACAAGGGGAAGTGAAACCTGACTTGCTATAGAGCAGTACTGATTTGTATTCACATATCTTTTAAAAAAATATTAAAGTGTTTTTTTTTTTTTTTTTTTTTTTTAATTGACTTTAAAGTCTGGAAAATTTGTGAAAGAAAGTGTGTCCTTGTGACCTTTTGAGAAGTTTTAGTCGAGGAGAGCCCTCCAGCAAACCCTTTGGCAGTTCTTCAAGAGAATCCGGGAAGAATAAATAAACGCCCTCCAAGTGATTAAGCTGTACTGCCATCCCTTTACTTCCAAAGAAGGATATTGACATTTTTGTACCTATTTCTGAAGATAGTAGCAAATAAAAATGACCAAATCAGTTTTATCTTGTAGGAATCTTCTAATGCAAGCATAGAGTGGCAAGAGGTACAGGCCTGCTATGGCTTTCAAGTGGTCACTGCTTGGTTCTTTCTAGGTGTAGATTTGTTTATTTCAGGAGAGCTTCATTCTGACATGGGCTTCTGTGGCTTTTCTTTTAAAATTGGTGGAGGCCAATTTCTGCTCCAAAACAGTTGTCATTATTTTATTTAAATTTTGTAGAAGTTGGGTTCAGAATTGCTTATTGAAAGAAGTTCCATAGATGATCTGCTCTGAATTAGATGTTTTCTTGTGGAGGCTGCTGCAGGGCCTGGGCCCTCTTTCCAGCTGGGAAGTCGCTGTAATGCCTTTTCAGATTCTTCCCCACAACGAGAAGACAGGGTGTTTTTGCTGATAGCTGGCAGAGAGGGTTTGGAAAGCAAACAAAGAATAAAAGGAGAGGAAAATTGGGGGCAGGTCCCCCGTTAATTCATCTGTTCAAGTTTTCTGTAAGGTTCAGGTGTCCCTGCTTTTGTTTTTACATCCTCTGCTTGAGGGATTAATTCTCCAGGCTTTCACAGAGCTGTGCTAGGGCTGCTCAGGAATGTGCGCAAAGCTGACACATTGCTGTCCTAAGCATGACAGCCATGGGCTGCTTCTGCTGTAGGAAGGGAGAGAAGGAAAAGAGCAAGAATGGAGGTCTAGGGTGCATCCAGTCTACTATCAAGACTCTGCTGAGATGACTTTATTAGGAATCAGCTTACAAGGCAGAAAGAGGTTTCTGGTAGCTGAAAGCAGAGCAGCTTTGAAAACCAAGCTGTTCCTGATTTTCAGTACACCTTAAACATCCATTGCTTTATTTGGTCTGCTCCAAGTACCTAGATACCTTTCTGGGCAACAGACCACCACGTGTGCAGTAGTGTGAACTGTGAGCAGGCACTCACTGTCCCAACACGCTGCCAGGTGTGAGAGACGGTGGGTGGGAGAAGAAACAACATTGTAGGAAGAAGTGATTGATTTCTGTTTAGGTTTTTATGCCAGTTTTAGAGCAGCATGTGGGAGTTCCCTTCAGTAACCCCAGGGAAGAGTATTCTTGGGTTTGGGGATTGTTAATATTCCAGGAAAAAAAAGGAACAGTAAAGGGTTTTTTTAAAAAAAAAATCAAAAAAAAATCAAAAAAATCAAAATTTCATGTTGGGCCATAAGAGACAAATCCATAAAAGA